AGATATCCATAATTCAACTCAACAATAGGGAGCCTTTTCCTGTTAGAGTTTTCGAGTCGAATTTTAACTTCATGACGGGGGATATTTTCAATTAGAGAATTGACTAGAACATTAAGTCGATTTTAATTGCAATAAAAGATATCATATTCACAGGAGCGAATTCGCTCGTGGAATCCATTCCTACCGATCAAAAATTTGTGTCATTTTATCTTTGCCCAATTTTTTGTTACACAATATATTGGCAAAGAGGGGTAGCTCTAGACACTCATTTTCGTCTAAGACTTTATGATTTTTTTATATTTATAGTATATAGAATATATGATAATTTATAATATATAGTTTTGTCAAAAAATAATATATGGTTTTTGAAAATATATAGTATAGTTTTTAAAAACATATGGTATAGTTTTTGAAAATATATTATATAGTTTCAAAAAACATATAATATATAGTTTTTGAAAATATATAGTATAGTTTTAAAATATATATACATATTATATGATTTTGAAAATATAATATATTATATATTTTTTTAATATATATATATATATATTAGGCTTATCATTATTATTATTTATTTTCTTTTTATTTTTTCATTTTCAGGTTCAAATGGTCCAGGTCCAGAAACGGAGCCCAACCGAACCATGCTAGCCCGACCCAGCAAAGCATGCCCGATTGGGAGAAGAGGGTCTGACCTAGCTCAATTCAAATTAGGGTTACAAACTTTAGCACTAGCACCGCACGGAGGGACCAAGCTGCTAGTAGCAGCGTGCGTGGAGGCCACGTGCTAGCACGGTTTGAAAACTGACTAATATTTTTGACCAGAAAATTACAAGATTGGGGTAACAACTCGCACGAACGGCACTCGGTCGAATGTCCAGTGAAGAAATCAGATTAAATTCCACCCCTTTCAGAGCTACAACGACCAGATTTGAGGCTATAAAAAGCCTCCGGCGAAGCCAAACAAAACACACAGTAACTATGAAGAAAACCATCGAGCAAAAAACAAGCAATATACCATCAAATCCACGAAAAACCACTTAAAATAAGCAATATTCGGCCAAAACCAAAAACAACCGAGCAAAATAACCAAAACAAAACCGAGCAAAGCATTTTTGCAGGCCCCAAAAAATAAAGAGCAGCGTCGATCTCAGTTTGGGAGGGAAACAGCTGTTGAAAGTCGAAGATTTTCATCGAAAAGGTAAATTTTCAAAACTTCACGCTTAGATCTACACCAGTGGGACCTTTTTTGGAAAATCAAGCCTCGATTTGGGTTAGGGGTGTTGAGAGGAACGTTTTAGGTAATTTAATTTTTTTCTGGCTACCAGAGCGGCCGTCGAGCAGTGGTGTGTAGCTAGGGGATTGATTGGCCATTGGCCAGTTAGAGTGAGTTGAGAGAGAATTTTGAAGGGATACGATTTTTTTTTTTTGAAATATGAAGGAAATGATTTTTTTTTGCTTTAAGGGCTATTTATAGGGAGGTTCATCTTGTAATTACAAGATTTTTAAATTATTTCCGCAGTCCCTCTAATTTTGTTGTGTAATTCATTTTGGTCAGCTATTGTAATTTTGCCTTGAAATTTTGAATTAATTTAATTTAATCCCTATTATATTTTTTATATTCACGCAATTTGACCCCTAACTTTTCATTTTTTCCTTGCAGCTTTTAATTAACATCAAATTAATCCTTAATTTTATTTTATTTTTCAATTTTGTCCATTTTTTATTTGAATTTTCCTTTTTTCTATTTATTTAATATTTATTTATTTATTTTATTATTTAACATTAATTTGATTTATTTTTAGGTCAATTTTAACATTCTTCAAAGGTAAGTAATTCGGATCGAACCTTTAAATTTTAATTTTCGTAATTAAGACAACCGAAAAATCAAATTGGTATCAAAAGGGAAATACAAGGGTGCTAATTCTTCCTTGACTATAATCGACTCCCGAATCTGATTAATATCTGGTAAAACGAATATTAGACAAATTGTAAGTAAAGGGGTCCGGTCAACCTAATTTTAAATGACTGGTAGCAGCTCCAACACACATCAATTCAAGTCAAAATCTGATTCTGGACCCGCCCGAATGACGATCACGACACCCATCAAAATTAAATATGCGACTCAGATCGATCTATCAATAAGACGAAACCTAAGGAAGCAAATGACAATATATATATAAAGATTAGAGTTGACGTGTGGAGGAGGGTTTGAAATGACAGAACCTCGAGACCTTAACAACGTTAATTTCTTCAAAAATATCCTACCTAGCCCGAATCAGTCCTGTTGGTCCACCCAGCCTACGAACTAGCTTAGCTCAGCTACGCCCAAACTATGAGAAAATCCTTCGGATATTTCCGCTGCTTTAGCCAAGACCACCCTAATATCTCTTCGCAATAATTTAGGAATCTCCCCAACGCTGATAGCTATATTCCAACAACAACAAAGTTTGTAAAACACACACCTTAATCCCAATTAAGAAGTCTCCAATTGTGTTATATTAATTTATATAGTTTTGGGTCAATTAACAAGTTCTGCAAGTATAGGGACCAAAAAAGAAAAGAAGAAACAAATTCTGCAAGTCTTACATCATTGTACAAATCACATTAAACATGTTTCAGTTTAAATTTCAAATTCAATATCTTTTGAGAATACTTTATTTGCACGACTGCAAATATGAGCACTCTATGGAAGATTTATAATTTACATATAAAAAATCCATTGCCATGGCACCTTAATTATTACTACTTAGTCCATACGATTGAGAATGAACGGTTTCAAACAATACATTCAAATCATAATACTGCTCTATCTTTAAAATTATAACACTCAAATCTTTGCATTTTTCCATTTTGGATTAAATTATATATTTTTTTCTTAATTCTTAAATTAAAAATTCAATCAATGAGTAAAACGTTAAGTATTTTAAGTGATCAAATTAAGTATTTTTTTTCAATTTTAAAAGCAATGTTACGATTTTTTGTTTAAAGGAACACCCAAAGGAAACACCGTTAACCGCCGTTAGTAACAGGGTTAGGTGAAAACTAAAAGAATGTCAAACTATAAAAAGGGAATGACGGAGAAAGACGGAAAGTGATGGTCCCCACTCTCCCGAGTCAGGAAGCATCGATATTCGGTTCAAATCAAAGGAGGGGAAAGCTCTACAATTTACCGCGTTTAACAAACCTTGAGAAGCCTTTCCATTGATTAGGCTTTGCCTTCCCATTTTTAGCAAATGGATTCCACCATCTCCTTCATTTCATTTAACTTACCTTCTTCGCTTTGTTTTTCCCTTCCCTTCATGCTCACTATACTTTCCCAGAAAAAAGAATACCAGAGAGCAAATCATCAAGCATGGCTCGAGGGAAGATCCAGATCAAGCTGATAGAGAACTCCACCAATAGGCAAGTCACGTATTCGAAGCGAAGAAACGGTCTGTTCAAGAAAGCTAATGAACTCACAGTTCTTTGCGATGCGAGAGTTTCTATCATCATGTTCTCCGCCACTGGAAAGCTCCATGAGTTTATCAGCCCTTCCACCACGTAATCTCCTCTTTTTTTAAAACCCTAGATTTCTTTTTTTTTTTAACTTACTAAGCGTATTGTTTTTTTTTCTTTTTCTAAAAATATATAGAACGAAGCAAATAATCGATCAGTACCAGAAAGCCTTGGGGATCGATATATGGAGCACCCACTACGAGGTTTTTCCCCCTTTCTTTTTCAGTTGAATTTTGATTAAAAACACCATAAACTATCTCTCCGTCACAGAGATCTTTTCTGATGTTTATGTATAGAAAATGCAAGAGCAGTTGAAGCAGCTGAAAGAGGTTAACAGGAACCTACGCATGGAGATTAGGTAAAAATAATAATAATAATGAATTAATAGTACTGATTTTTTTTTTGAAATTCCACATTTTATTTAGATTTGATGGAATGAATGGTAGGAAGAGGATGGGTGACTGTTTGAATGACTTGAGCATCGAAGATCTTCAAGGTTTGGAACAAGAGATGGATAGCTCTGTCAATCTTATTCGTGATAGAAAGGTTAGATATTTTATATCCAAATTAAGCAACTTTTCAACTAGGTTTTTTTCCTTTTAATCTTCCTTATTTGGGTTTTTACTAAGATCTGACTCTTTCTTTTCATTTTTCTTTAAAAAAAGGATTAGATTTTATTTTTAAACAAGGTAAACTGTTTATAGTTTAAGATTTTCTTTCCCATTTCCTCTCGAAAAAGTTCACACTATATACCTATATATTCAAATTTTTACAACATCAAATATTTGGCATAATACATAGTGGATCAATAGTTCAGAAAGATTGATAATAATGCTACTAGTTGATATGACACTATATATATATTAATTATTCTATACACGTACAACGAAAAAAAAACTAAAAACCCAAGTTTAAAACGCTATAATGTATTCTTATAAAAATAAAATAATAACAAAAAAATATAGCAACATCTTAAAATCACTAGTGAAATTTTAAACTTTTATATATAATAAAAACCCCATAATCAATATATCAAATAATACTTTATGTACATAAAAAATCTAATCTAAAAGAAAGATATAAGAATGTGTATGTATATATGGGTTAGGAAATGATCACCACCAATAGATTTGATAAGTTCAATCATGTTATATATTCTTAATTGCACTTATAAAATAAATAAAAAATCATGTTTAGTGTATAAACAATATTAATCATAATATACATATATTTGTACATATTTTTACTTGTATCGAGAAAGAAATATTTGTATCGAAAACAAGGGTTTCAATGGAATTTCAATTTTATTAGAGTCTAAATCTTTTATGTTTCATAATGTATGACAGTATCGTACTCTCACCAACCAGATTGATACTTCCAGAAAAAAGGTAATCGTAAACATTTGAATGTTTAAATATAAATATTTGTAAATCATTCAAAGTTACATTCTCTAGAATTTGTGAAAATATATAAAATAGTTACATCTCTTTGTTTTATTACATATCTTGCTGCATGCAGGTGAGGAATGTGGAAGAGATACACAAAAATCTCTTACATGAACTGGTAAGCACCTCCTGATTAATTAAGGACCGATTCAAAACCATTGTTTTATATGCTTTTTCTTATGTTGAGTATATGTTGTTTTAAGGATGTTCTGAAAGAAGACCCGTATGGATTAGTTGATAATGGAGGGGATTATGATACCTTAATCGGGTACCAAAATGGAGGCCCTCGTATATCGGCTCTACGCCTGCTGCCAAACCATCCTAGTCTTCACAGTGGTGGAGGATCCGATCTCACCACCTATCCCTTGCTCGATTAAAATATCTATATCTCCATCTATAAACTAAGTCCACATGCGATATTAACTATATGATATTGCTATCAAAATAGAATTGGTGTGTACCATTATACTTAAGCTAAAATTCTCGCCACTTTTATTATGCAACTTTGGTGTTTCCTATCTGTTTCTTACTTGATATTAGAGATTACATATTTTATGACTATCTGAATGCTTTCGACTCCGTTGTTTTTCAACTGCATGCCATGAAATCTTGTGCTAAATATATATTCAGATGTATGTATAAAATTATTTTGTCCCGATTTTATTATCATATACTGATTTTTTTTCTTTGTTTTAGAAAGAAATGTTTTTAAGTCAGTATGTTTTGGTAGTGTTCATGGTATTTTACTTTTATTTTTTTGGGTATTGATCCGCTGCAATTGATTTGGACTGATTTATTTGTCAGTGATGTTGTTTTTAGGTCAGTGTGCTAAGGTCGTGACTTCATGATGTATTACTTGTATTTTTAATCTTCGTTTCGAAATGTAATTCGATGTTTGATTTTGTGTTTATTCTTATTTGAAGCATCGATTGACGAACTTGTAGTCTTTGATCAATTTTATTTAGTTTAAAAAAATTATATTTGTTGTGTGAAAAAAAATATTATAAGACATGTGATATAGAATTATTAAAATGATAGTTTATTTCTTGAAAAATTAATTTTTTTTGGTGGAAAATTAAGAAAACAAGTTTAAGATTTGGCGCAATTTTTTGTTTCAATTTTCATAAAATCAAATCGACTCGAAAAAATTTCAAATTCAAGTCGAGTTATAAAATATAACTCAAAATTTTTTGTAATTAATAGATTGATTTTAAAGTTTGTATCGAGTCCATCGACTCTGTATGATATATGCATATGACATGGAAAAAATATGAACAAATATATGTGTATTGTATATATTACAGAAAATCATTTAAATTGAAAGCAAATAGTATCATAATATTATAAATATTTACAATTAAATTTAAACTGAAAATTGAACAAATCGACTTGAACAAAAAAATTAAATCAAATTTGAGTTATAAAATAGAATTCGTCAACTCAAATAATTCAATTTTCTTTTACTCGAATCGGAAACGCTCACCCCTAAGAAAAATACCTTAGATTGAATAAATATATGTTGGTGTCATTTAAGAAGGCAAAAGGTTGGCCTTAAATTTGCCCTGAGCGATGTTAAGTCTGTAAAGAAACAAGGCAAATGGGCAGGGCAGGTCAGGAGAATTGTGGAGCGTGGCCGAGTGGGGAATCCCATGGTCGCATCATTTTGCTGTCCAATAAAAACGAATAACATATCTTCTCGATTGGAATAAGAGTTAAGTCCTGCTGGTACAACTGAACTCTATTAGGAAACACAGGAAAACTAGGGCATTTATTCGCCTCCACCATGTAATGCTGGCTATTCCCATATATTTTCTTTAATCATAAAGAAGTAAAGAGGTTAAACAAAGTTAGGCATACAAAAATCGATAATACATTGAATAAGATAGAGAATGAGAGCTTCACTAGAGTATAAGCTAATCAGTTGTTATCTCATGGAATTCTTTGAAAATCGATAATACATTCTCTCTTATGAATATTATCAATAGCACGAGCCAAAGATATTAGAGAAGAACTAGTTGTTGGATCGAGAATCATTTGGATTGCATGTGCACAATCTGATTGTATTTACAAGAGTTCAAAATCATTATCCCACACCAGACACATACCAGAAAAATACCCATAATTCATCTTGTAAGGTGTTGAATATAGCAGCATTGACTGACGGTTATAATTGTACACATGTCAAAAGCTGATTGCTTAGCTGATTGCACTAGGTGGTTAGGCTGGTGTGAAGTTGTTAGGATTATTAGATGGTTAAGTAGTTGCTTAAGCAAGCAAGCTACATGGTCTTTACAGCGCTATATATAGAGCACGTTTGCTTCATTGTAAAGTGATATGGTTTTATCAATTGAATAAAGAAGTTCTTTAAGCTTTCTTTTTAATTCCCAATATGGTATCATTCGCTAAAGGTTCTGGCTCCTAGTTTCCATTTGTGGTGATGGTTCTTGACAGTTTGACTCTCTCCTCAGCCTCTGGAGGTTGTTTGGTGGTGCGGTCAATCATGTTCACTAACAAGAAGGTGGACGTTTCTTGGGCGAGATTAATTTCTTGCTTTGGAAGCAGCAGGTGTTGTTCACTATTTGCAGTCATCACCTAGAGCGGCTGTTGAATGGTTCGATGCCAGCGCCACCGGAAACCATTGTTTATCAAAATGGTGAGGTTGTTTTTAATGAGGCGTTTGAGGATTTTGTGGTGCAAGATAGTGCGCTAGCATCCTGGTTATTGTCTATCATTAGTCCTCAATTGTTACCTCAATTTGTTGGTGTTGAGACAACGACTACAATGTGGAGTAAGATTATTCAATTCTTTGTCAATTGTTCGACCATGATGGTGATGAATCTACTGTATAAGCTTCAATCTCTTAAAAAAGAGATGATAGCATGCGTGTCTATCTCACTCGTGTTAAGGAAGTGTACGATGCGCTTGAGTCATGTGGCAGTCATGTTGCTCCAGTTGAACAGACTGAGAGTGTGTTAAAAGGTTTACCTCATGAATATCAGCCATTTATTGCCATTATAACCACCATGCATGAAACTCTCACTTTTGACGTTTTTAGCAACATGTTGATTGATGCTGAAACTCAGTTGGCTAGCTTTGATTTTCCAGTAGACAATCTTTCGATTAATGCTCATATTGCACAGGTGACAAATCATCATATCTTCGATTTCGTATCTGCTCAGGATTTTAATCGCAAATCATACTCTGGTTCTTCAGGTGGTCGATCTGGTGGTCGTGGTAGAGGTCGTCCACGACTCTATGGCAAGGTTGGTCATCTGGTTTAACAGTGTTAGTATCGATTTTATCGTGACTTTCTTGGTGATGGTAGTGGCACTGCACGTTATAAATCTGGTCCTAGCAACGCTAATTTTATTGAAAATGTTCAATATGACTGTTGTGCAAACACTAGTGAATGACGATCCACTGAGTCTCCTCAAGGTAACGTCATGTTTACCTTTCGTGAGCATTAGGCGGTTGATTCTAGTGCCACACATATTGTGACTCCTGATGTTACCAAGATTGCTCCGGACCAAGTAACCTTTTAATTGGTAATGGTGTTCCTCTTGATGTACAAATTGTTGGTAATGTTTTCTTGTCTTCTCGCTCACAACCGTTGATGTTGAATGATATTTTGCATGTGCCTAAGATAACTAAGAATATCCTCTTGATGTCCAAGCTTGCTAGGGACAATCGTGTCTTCTTTGAGTTTTGAGCTGATAATTGTTATGTTTGTGATGAAGTTACTGGTTGCATTCTTATTCGAGGCAACCAGTGTGGTGGCCTTTACTCCTTTGCACTGGCTGATGGCTCGACCTTCTGAGATCCTGCTAGTGTTAGTGTAGGTAATGCTCCTGATTTATCTGAGTTTTGGCATAGGAACTTGGGTCATCATTCGTTTAATACTTTGAAGATTGTTTGTAATCGTTTGTATGTACATATTTCAAATGATTCTAATAAAAATTTTGTTGCTTGTTGTGTTGGGAAAAGCCATAAGTTGCCCTTTGATTCCTCTCAAACTGTGTATAGTGAACCTTTTCAACTTGTTTTCTCAGATTTGTGCGATCCCGCACCTACTCCTTCTAATGGGTTTAGGTACTATGTTTCCTTTTTTGATGCTGCACTTGTCATACTTGGTTGTACTTGCTGCAAGATAAGTCTCAAGCTATGACTGTGTTTCAGTTATTTAAGAGTATGGTTGCCACTCAATTTGCTTTACCCATTAAAGTCATTAAAAGTGATTGGGGTAGTGAATATAGACCACTAACTAGTCTTCTGGCCAAAGAGAGAATTGTTCATCGTGTAACATGTCCACACATGCCTAAAAAATGGGGTTATGGAGAGAGAGCATGGCCACTTGATTTAGCTAGTTCTCGTTCTGTTGGCTCAGGCTTCTCTACCCTTGAAGTTCTAGTCTTATGCAATAGTCATTACTGTGTATCCTATAATAGACTTTCTACAAGAGTGTTACAGGGTGTTTCTCCATTTAAAAAGTTATTTCATAAGCAGACTGATTATAAGTTCATGAAAGTGTTTGGTTGTCGATGTTTCCCTCATTTGTGATTGTTTCACAAGCACAAGCTTATGTTTTGATCCCATGAGTGTACATTTTTAGGGTACAACCCTCAGCAAAAAGGATTTCAATGTCTTGCTCCTGATGGACGGGTCTATATCTCTCGTCATGTGAAGTTTGATGAAATGGTCTTTCCTTTTTCAGCTTCATCCTCACATCCCTTAAGTTCTACCTCTGGCCAAAAGGTTCCTGTGTTAGATGTGGTCATGCATTCACAAATTTTACGTGTGCCTAGGGTTTTTACACGTGTGCAAGTTTCTCCTATGGTATCACCTACTAATGCTAGTCCTCCTGCTATTCCTTTTGATTCAGTTTTACCATATGGTGAGGACATATCTATTGTTCCTTTTCAAGAATTTTTACATGTACATGTTGATTATGCATCTGATGTGGGGTCTTGCAATGAGTCTCGGGTGCTTGAACATCCGATTCTTGCTCCATTATCCACTTCACAGTCATCCGGTGTGGTCAATATTCATCCTATGTGCACTCGAAGTAAGGCTGACATTTTCAAGCCTAAAGTATTTCTTAGTAGTCTGGATGAGTTGGTTCCTGACACTGTTTATGAGGTTTTTTGGTCTGATAAGTGGACTACAACTGTTCATGATGAGCTTTCTGCTCTCTAGAAGAATGACATCTAGACTTTGGTTAAATTTTCAGATGGGAGGACTGTTGTCGGGTGTAAGTGGCTTTTTAAGCTTAAGAAGAATGCATATGGCATTGTGCAAAGGCATAAATCTCGTCTGGTTGCCAAGGGTTATTCTCAGGTGCCCGTTTAAGATTTCCAAGAAACTTATAGTCTTGTGGTTTGGTTTTCCATAGTCAATGTTGTGTTGTCCTTGGTTGTCTCGAAGATGTGGGCACTTCGACAGGTTGATGTGAATAATGTTTTTCTCAATAGCGGGTTGTGTGAAGATGTTTTTATACAATAACCAACTGGGTTTGAAGTATCTGCTTCTGATGGTACTCCACTAGTTTTTAAGATTCAGAAAACTCTTTATGGCATGAGACAAACGCCACGCAATTGGCATACTAGGCTTCATGATAGTTTACTTGCATTAGGGTTTCAAAAATCCAAAACAGATTGCTCCATTTTTGTTGCTGGTTAGGTTGGTGTTCGTACATTTGTTTTTGTTATGGGAATGATTAGAATGAATGGAAATGAGTTGTAGGTGGTGAAACCAAGCTTGAAATAAAACCTTTGAGTCCATTAAGGAAATTCTTTAAAAGTTTTGGCCTTAAGGAAGAAAAATAGGAAAATTTATACAAAATTCTCTTTAAGTCTTAGAATGGATGTAAGAAAGATTTCATGTGACTGGAATTAAGTTTTGGATCAAATTGGAGTAATGTTAAGTTTATGAGACTAATTTGCAAAGTTTGGGAAATTAAAGGATTAAGATGTGAATTTTTGAAAATTTAAGTATTGTGCTCGAAATTTTGTTAGGATGTTGAATTGGGGTTAAATTAGAAAATAGTATGAGATTAAGGATCAATTTGAAGGCTTGGTAAAACACTAGTAATAAAATGATAAAAAAACAATGTTATCAAAACCGGACCGGATCGACCGATTCGACCGGTTAAACTGAGAATCGGTTTCTTGTCTGGTCCAGTCAGTCTCCAAAACCAGTTTTGCAATGAACCGATAGAACCGGTTTGGAACCAGCAAAATCGGTGTGAACTGGCGGTTCAAACAGTTCACACGGTTCTATTTTTTTAAAAAAATTAAACCAAACGATATCGTTTGTTATGATTTTTTCAGCCCCAAATTTATTTTCTGATTTTGCATGTGTTAAACCATTTTCACGAATGTTTGCAAGCGATGAACCCTATCCCTTTTCCACTTTGGTTTCCTTTATCACCGTTCCCTCAAGTTCAAAGTGATGATATGGAGTTTCAAGTTCAAAGTGGTGATGGTGGTGGTAGTTCAACTAATGAAGAAGTTTTCCCCAATATTTTGGAATTTGAGGGAATCAATTTCAATGAATATTATGATGATTGATACTTGTATCAATTATGTATTTTTATATAGTTATTGATGAATTTCATTAGGTATTGACCTTAAATATTATGTTGTAGTTGATTTGAATCATTTTGTTTCACTTGATATTATGGTATTTAACTTATATATGTTATGACTTGTGATATTTTTATACCTTTTAATATTGTGAACATAAAAAGAGTGTTATATATATATATATATATTAATATTACTTTGAATATTATGTAAAATTTAAAAAAAAAAATTTATATAAATCGGTTCAACCGCAGTTTAACCACGGTTGAACCAGTTAACCAGTACCTTCACCGGTTTAAGGTTCAATACAGTTTTAAAAACATTGATAAAAAAATATAAAGTTGGAAGTTGTGAAGAATGGTGAATATGGTGATTAATTTAAGATTTAAAGTGATCATGAAGGGATTAATTTGAGGAGAATAGATATAATTGATTAAAATTATAGAAATTATTATCTAATATATTATGGTTGTTTTTTTAGTAAATGCATATTTATATGTTAGTTAGATACTAACATATATCTTGAACTTTTATTTGTTCGGATAAATTAATTCTCTTATAGACTGTGATCACAAATCAAGTCAAAGCGAGCAAAAAGAAAGAGTCAAAGGATCGGAGTGAAAGCAAAACCGACACTAAATTTACTAGTGAGGTAAAGGTGAGTGCATTTAATTCGTGTTTGAGTTATCGTACAAATATTGGCTTGCGATGAGCCAGTGACAGAGTTACCAAAGTAAAAAGTGACTCCTAATGTTGTGAATTGTGATTCTAGTCTAAAGGTTCATTTATTAAGCCTACAAAATTATGAAATTTAGCAAAGGATGCTAATTAAGGAAAGTTGTCTAGAAATTTAAATTTGAACAGTAAGTTTAGAAATTCATCATAAATTATAAAGAATTAATTAGAGAATGATATCTATACCGTTAGATTCTTATATCAATCTAGTTTTGTTTAAACAAATGGTGACTGATTTCGAGATGTACACAAATAGATATGAATTTTTAATCAGTGATAGATCAGAAAATAGGACAGCAGAATTCTGCCGAAACAACTTCTATTAGTCAATTTGAAAAATCACTATAAATTGTACAAGTGGAACTAGACAGAGTGCCTTATATGGTTAGAATCGTATTCGAGACTAGTTTTCATTACTGCAAACAAAATAATTTTTTAGTAATTATTAAAAAATAATATTTATTTGAAGATAGTGCAAAATGACAGAATATAGAATTTTGATCAAATGTATATTGAAAGTAGTGAAAGGAAAGGATTTAAATCTAAAGCTTAGTGAGGCTTATATTTTGATTTTAAATAATAGTAATAAAGTGTTAAAGTGAATCCAGAAGGACGACTTGCGATAAGTCAACTTCATTTTATTTTCTAGTATGATTTATAAATTTTCAGTATGGAATATTTCTATAATATTTTGTTTTATCAAGTTTTATGAATGCTTTTGGGTATGAACTGCCCAAGTATGATATTTAAGAGGATGAATTCTAAATGTTTACAGTTATCAGATGATTTTTAGTGATCCTATGATTTCAGTTATCAGATGATTTACAGTAATCAAATAATTATAAGACCAGATATTTCACAGTTATCAGATATAAAATAATAAATGATTCTATGATAATAAGGATAAGCCCATTGTATGTTGCATTGAGAACCGTAGGTACATTTGGCAAGCCATTAAGTGAGTGCTTATCAATTCAGATTTAGTACATTCGTGTATCAATGTTCAGTTATCAGTTCAGCTTTGGTACATTCGTGTATCAATGTTCAATATCGTTGGTGCTCATTCAGGTTATGATTGCACTGAAGTGAATCATATCTCAATTTCAGTTATGATTCGACACCGTGTTGTGCCTAATGTGCACCTTAAACTCACGTACCTTATATTCTCTTACATATATATTGGGCTATAATAGTAAATGTGAAAGTTATGACAGTATGTGAAAAAAAGGAACATAGACTTGAAAAGAAAGTTTTGAAATATGTTTGAATGAAAAGAAAAAAAGTTATTTATGATATTCGATGTTGACTTACATGATTTTTGATAAAATCATGAGATGATGATTTTTCAGGTTTTTCAGAAGGAAAAACAACTTGACCATCCCGGTTTGAAGTATAATGTTTTTATTTAAATTACAATTTGTTTCTTATTTTTATGAAATTTATGGTTTTATATCACTTTAATTATATTTCTGTCTCGCTAAGTTTTAGTTAGCGCGTGATGATTTTCATGCATAGGTTCGAATAAAGTAGAGGTCTTGAAGTAAGGAGCTTGTCAGCATCTTATGCAAATTCAAACCTACCGACAATATCAGTAAGACATCTTAACTTTGACTTATTAGTGGCATGTATATTATATTTGTTGGGTTGCCTTATTTAATTTATTTTAAAAGGGTTTGTAATAGTAATTAGGGTTATTTTCTTTAGTTTTGTCTAATTTTAGTATTAATCGTATTTATGAGTGAATATTATAAATGTCATATTTAAAATGGTTTAAAACGTAGTGGAATTAGGCAATTGTATTTGGATATGAAACAACACTAAACTGCCTAATTACTGACTGACATCATATTAGTTTTCAATGATCAAATGGTGTTTTATAAATTTTTATGATAAATGAACAGCTTTTAAAGTTAAAAAGGAAATTATTAAATGAAACAAATCTTTTAAGCATTTAAGTTTAGTAGATGTCAGTTGAGTTGATGTGGCATATGTGGCTCGTATTACGAGATATATATGAGCTATGGGTGTTACATTTATTGGTATCATAGCAGTATGTTTAGTCGATTCTTGCCTAAACCAAGTTTATGTTATGTTAGAAATATGTACATGTCACTAGGATGTCAAAATTTCTGATCTGGTATGGTTTTATGATTTTATGAATGTTGTTGCTCCTTAAAAATGATATAGAAATGTATGTGTTAGATATTGAAAAGTTAAGAATTAGAGTAAAAACGTAGATAATACTAGAAATAGAATTGAGATTAGAACCGATTCAATTGGATTCAAGGAGATCTTAGTATCTCGCCCTAGTAAGGTTAGGGCTGTTAAGGATTTTTCTTTATTCTGTGGAAGATATACCCCAATTTTGATGGTCTCATATCGGATAGCTCTGATAGAATTTAGAGAGTTAAAGGTACAAGTACATGAGTTATTTTACCACAATTTTATCAGATCTAAAGTATCTCCATATGGTATATTGGTACTCTTTAGTAAAAGAAAAAAAGAATATATGTAGTTATATATAGATTACTGTCAACTGAATAAAGTGACAGTAAAGAATAAGTGCCCCTTTTCAAAGATCGATGATCGAATTGATTAGCTCAAAAGTACATCAATATTTTCGAAGATTGCTCTTCAATCAAAGTATCATTACTTAAAGATTAAAGAGTAAGATATTTTGAAGATGATTTTCAGAACTTGATATGGATATTGTGAATTCGTAGTCATGCCATTTGGATTGACTAATGCTCCAGTAGTATTTATGGATATGATGAATCGTCTGTTTCAATCGTATCTGGATCAATTCGTAGTCGTATTCATTGATGATATTTTGGTATATTCTAAGATTCAAGAAGAACATAATGCACATCTTCGTATTGTACTTCAGGTCATGCAAAATAAGAAGTTATATGTTAAGTTATTATAATGTGAATTCTGGTTGCCAGAGGTCGTTTTACTGGGCCACGTGATTTTAGCAGAATGAATCAAAGTATATCACAAGAAAGTACAAACTAAAGTGGAGTGGAAAAATCTAAAGAATGTTTCTAAAATTTGAAGCTTCTTGATATTAGCAAGTTATTATAGGAGATTCGTGAAGAATTTCTTGATGATTGCATCTTCACTTACCCAACCACTTAGGAAAGATGCACCATTTATCCCGGCTGAAAAATGTCAAGAAAGCTTCGATACACTTAAAAAGATTCTAACAGAGGCACATGTATAAATGCAACCAGAGTCGGGTAAAGATTATGTAATCTATAGTGATGCGTCCCATAATGGTTTAGGATGTGTTTTAATGCAAGAATGTAAAGTGGTAGTTTATGCTTTAAGGTAGTTAAAGGCACACGAACGGAAATTATTCGATACATGATTTAGAGTTGGTTGCGATAATGTTCTCTTTAAAGATATGGTGTCATTACGTATATGATAAGCAATGTTACAATTATACAGATTATAATAGTTTGAAATATTTTCTCATTCAGAAGGAATTAAATTTAAGGCAAAGTAGATAGATTGAGCTTCTAAAAGACTATGATGTGATTATTGGCTACCATGGGGAGAAAGTTAAAGTAGTAGCTGATGCACTTAGTTGAAAAATATTATCTTCCCTAAGCACTTTAGATGTTTAGTTTTCAATGAAAATGATAATATACTTGTTGCAGAATTGATGTTGAGAATCAGTATTGTCAAATTTGATTGAATGTATAGGAGATGATAAAGTATTTCTCAAAGTATCACCCTGGAAGAAGATTCTCCGTTTTGGACGCAAAGGAAAACTAAGTCCACGATTTATTAGGCCCTATGAGATCTTAAAAAAGAGTTGGACCGGTAGCTTATCAGTTAGCATTACCTCCAGAAATGAATAAAGTTCATAATGTTTTCCATGTTTCGATGCTTCGGAAGTATCGATCATATCATTCTCATGTCATTACACCGGAGGAAATAAAGATTCAGGTAGATATGTCATATGAGGAAGAACCAGTAAAGATTTTGGCACATGGAGTCAAAAAGCTAAGAAATAAGACAATTCCACTAGTTAAGATTCTTTGGCGTACTCATAAGGTCGAGGAAGCTGCTTAGGAAAAAGAAGAAGATATTAAAAAGCAATTTCCTCACTTGTTTGAATCAGAAACACAATGAAAATTCGAGGATGAATTTTCAAAAGAGAGGGAGAATTGTAATATCCCAAATTTTGAAATAGTGACTGGAATGTAAATTTTTAAAGTTTAGAGACTAAAATGTAAAGTTGTAAAAGTTTAAGGACTAAAAATATAAATTTCAAAATTAAATTTTCGGATTTGTGAATTAGTAGTTTAGCTCAAGACAATTAGTTTAGAGGGTTTCAGAATTTTGATCTAGAGATTGCATACAAGTTTATTAAAGGATAAAGATTAGTATA